TGTGCAAAATTACTGCAAAATCGTCGACTGCAACAAGACTCTGAAATATGAAATAACCTAAATAGGAGGGCTATTAGAAAAAGAAAATTAAACAAAAAGAAGAAAAGAAAATCAACCCTTAGCAACTCCGTTTACAATCCTCTGAGGGAGAGATCTTCCTAGAACACCATAGCAACACAATAGCAACATTTCAGTGATGGCACCTCATATCTTCGGTCAAGTTAACTGGACTCAAAAATCCAGGTTTCATATTTGTAGCACATCCGACTGAAAGATGGTCTTTCTGTAGAAAAGTTTTGATAAGAATCCTTATACCAACGTAAGAGCTGGTTTAAAACACACAAAACAACACTATATCAATTACATTTGTACACATCACCATAGCACAACTATAACTTACGTAGGCTCTGTAATATATAAAACAACAACATAATTATTATCCAGTACACAATTAATTTAATGAAATATTTTACTGAGTTTGCAGTTATTTTTTTAACCAGAAAAAAGTCTCATGCAAATAAATTCAAGGACTTTTTTCAGATTAAATAAAACAGAAATCTAAGATAGAAATCTATTTAAAAAAATGTAAACAGAACTGGATAACCCTTTTTTCTCTTAAAGAGGTCCCAGCCTAAAGAATTGAAGGCTTACTGATGAAATTAAAGTCAGTCTCCAGAAAACAAAAATAAAAACTGCTTCTTAGAGGCATGTAAATGAATACAGAGCTCTGAACACCACCTTTTCTTTTTTAATTATTCTTTTTTAAATTATCTTAATGAGAGAAATTAAAAAAATTATATGTACATTGTAAACAAAACACTGCATTTAAGACCAGCTATTGCGATGTGTTTACTATGCACATTCACATCGCTATGTCAATGAAAATGTGATTAATAGTACAGGTCTAACATGTATATGTGAATATAATGAATACATTTTAATAAATAAATTCAAGAAATTATACAGTTTGTGAGTTAAACCCATTGCTAAGTGGACTGTGAAGATAATAGCAAACTGCTCAAAGTGGACACAGGGCAACACTTTGTGTGTTTGATTGCTGGGCTGTTATACACTGGCAATTTCTACTTGTAGAAGTCCATAAATGTCAATGAGATGTCCATAAATGCCATGATGACAGACTAATGCACTTTGAAACAAGTGTGTGGGAGAACCTTGCACAGGGCAGATGGTTATTAGGAGGATTTCTGTTTAGACCAAGAAGCAGAAATGGTGTAGGTGTTTGAAAATAATGTCCAGGGAAAAATCATTTAGCCAGTTTAATTTAATGTAATGTTTTCTTTACTCATTTCTGTGGCATAATTAACTTTGTCTGTTGGTTCTACACACCTTGGTTAATACTTTGTCAATTGGAAAAAGGTGTTTTTAAACACTGAGCATCAATACAGAATCCTGGCACCTGTAGTGCTGCCCTGAGCCTTTTTTAACATATGAATACAACATTTAAAATAACACTTAATTGGTAGCAAAGGGACATTTTAAAAAAATTAAATTATTCAATTGGCTGTGTTTAATAAGCAGAAAAAGTACTTTAAATACAGGTGGTGCTAATTGTATTTTATCAAATTGCAAGTTTTTCAATTCAATGCAGCCACACTCTCTCACTCACACAACATATTGCTGAATGAAAAATCTTGAATCTATATTCCTACAGCCCAAATCCCACAAAAGCCTTAGACCTTAATAAGGGTTGGTCTCTACAACAGTGAAAAAGCAGCCATGTGGCCAATTATGTCTCATGTGTACTGTAGAGCCTTAGGGGGAAGTCCTGTGATCTGGAGTGGTATCAGGTCTTCAACATTAAGTGCCCAGAGATGTGGTCAGCTGATCATTTCAACATACAACCATGGATTGTTTTCAGGGTAATAATTAATGTCAGGATACATCAAGCTCAGATCACAGATCACCTTGACACGACTTGCAGAGAAATTAATGATGTTTTGAGGTTCTGCTCTTAAACATGCACCTGTGCATTTGACCTCACTTAGTGCTGCTGATTGTGTAATGTTCCCTGCTCTCCAAATGTGATTTGGTGGCAGATTTAATACTAAATTGATTTTTTTTCAAGGGGGTTTAATATGTATGAGATCTCCTGAAAGGCCTGTGCACTCACTCCAATCGTACGCTGCAAAACAGGATGAAGGTTTTTATCCAAGCTTCAGTTTGGAGGTTTGGAAATGAGCTCAAAGTCACCGACTTTATAATGTTTTGTCATCTACTGTCCTCTAAACACCCAGCTCATATGCTAATGTAAAATATGTACATATATTGAAGTGGCATATATTAGAAACAGCTCCAGGAGTTGGACGTGCTGGTTACTTTGTTGTGAACCTGTTGTGTGTGAACGATTGAGATTCAGAGGTGATTTCAGAGTGGAGACTAGACTGACTTTCATCTTCTGCCTCACTACCTGAAAAACATGCAGGAAACATGTGCTGCATTCACAAAGACATTTGAGATCATTTCATTTCTAATACACTCAGAAACAGATTCTTTACAGCAACAACATTCCTTCAGACAGCATCTGATGTTTAACACAACAACAACAAGTTCAACGTAAGATACTGTACTTTGAAACAACTCATTTGTGGACACCAGATACCCAAATTCACCTTCTCTGACTTGACATTGGAGCCACACTATCATTTTGACAACTTAGGAAGCTATTATGGCAACTAAAACAGCAGATTTTACATCAACCTGTAATCATACTGATGACATCAGCTATGGAAAAAACTCTTGTCTGCAGACATCTCTCTGTCATCTTTAGTCATTTGTTTAACTTATTTTTTTTTTGCAAACTTCACCAACATTTTGCCTCAGCAGCCAAAGTAAAGAGCAAAGTAAGGAACAAATCAGCAACCCCCCACCCACCCTCCACCCTCATCCAGCCTCTGCTTCGCAGCAGGCAGCCGTGCAGAAAGTGTAATAGATTGTGGACGTCAGCCTTTATCTGTTGGTGTCGCATTAAACCTGCAGCGCCCTGTTGTTCTGCATCCCTGTCCTCTGCTTGACACGTGACTCCATCAGCAACCTGCAACAAGGCGTTGTGCGAGTGTGTGTCCTGGATTTAAAGAGCTCTGCAATACGTTGTGTCAGGCTCCCAAGGTGAACAGCAGAGACAGGGGCCCCAGATTAATTCAAGCCCCACCATAATGATGCTGCCCCCTCCCCAACTCCGTGAATAAAGACAAATGGCTTTTGTTTGTGTCAGCTCTGCTGTCTTGCGTTGATACCTCCAATAATTCTATTTCACATGAGAATCAAAAAGAAAAACAATACTGCACAGTCAACTGTAACCGTGCGCCGTTACTAAGAAACTGAGAGGAGCAGGAAGCAGACGGAGGAGTACAACGGTCTCCTCTTTCCAGAAGATTTTACAAATACACAATTGTCAATCAATAGTCCATTCTTTCTTCTATTCTCAGCCTGCATTACACAATTATTAACTTAATGTGAACCACACCACGACAACATGTGGAGTTGTTTACTCCAAATCTTTGCACACATTAACGCATGTTGCTATGGTACTCCTCTAATAATGAATGATGTTGCCAGATCTTGGAAAAGAAACAAGCAAAACAAGCGACCAACCAGGTCTTAAAAAATAGGACCAAACGCAGACACCACAGCTGCTGTCTGTCATGAAGGAGAGAGAAGCCCCTTCATTTACACAAGTTGATTCATTTAGCATTACACGGAACACAATCAGCATTGTGTGTGCGTGTTTCACAAAAGCATTTAGAATATTTGCATCAGTTCATATAAAAATGAATCGTGCATCAAGTCGTAAGGAGTAGGCTACGTTATCTCAAAAAGTCAGTGATCATACCATTAGACTACACACTTTGGTACAGTGCCAGTATGCGCCTAAAAAAGTTGACCAGCTATTAAACAAAGATGTCAGGTTCATGTAGCCAAAGAGACATTCAGGTGTTCAAACAGAACATGGGAAGAACTTCTTTCACAGACACAGTGTTTTACAGTGTTAGAGTTAAGAAAGGAACTCTCTCCAGTTAACATACTTTCATATTATTTTGTCGTTTAACATCTCGACATTTAGTGAGCTAAACAAGATCAGAATAACTTTACTTTTTATAAGAGGAAATAAATGGTGATAAAGTACTGCATAACATATTGCCTTGTAAGTTCAGTGTTTTGTTTCATCCCTACCAGTTACTGATAGACTTTTCCTGCAATATATTTTGTTTGTTTGGGCATTGATGTTATTAGTTGATTCATCCATCAGTGCCAATAATCAATTTAGTTTGTGGAGAAATTTTCTCACAGGATGAACAAAGGGATAAACAAACAGAGCCAACAAAGCAATAAGATCTAGCCAACCACAGGCCTCAGACTATGTCAGATGCATCAACTGGACAAACCTAGCATTTGGTAGAAGTGGACAGAGACATGGCGAATAGGAATATGAACAGAAAAACAAAAACATAGCCAGAAAACCACAATCAAGGGTTGTCTATATTTTTACCATTACTTACCATTACTAATTGTACTTGTAACATGCCAATATACACAAAGTACCTATCAACACTTTCTGACAATTTCAGTTACAAAATGACCAATACATATTGGACAATACATACCAGAACGAAAAATAGATTTAAAGTTTTCCCTCTGAAGGGTACAGTGACTCGGCAGTTTATAGACTGAAGGTCCGTTTAAGAAGCCAGTGAAGTGCATTTTCACTTCACATTTATAGTTACCTAAACAATGATGCTGTTGTAAATACAAGTAAAAAACAAAACATTAAAACAAGTCATTTGATTATAAAACAATTAAACCAAATTGAAACTCAGCTCAGCAAAATAGAGATGAGTATTGAGCAGTTTTTAAATGTTTATAGACCTGTGCAGTGGTGACATTTAAGGCAAGTTCACCACACAGTCTGTGAAACAAACAGGTCGATCTCTGGTGTTCTAATTACCTGGTGTCTAACGTTAGCAGCTCATCTGAGGACTTACCACGATGATGGCGTCCTCACTGATCCAGAAGAAAACACGCGTCTATGAAGACTTGACAACATCTGTGGCCGTATCCAGCAGTATTCAGCCTCTCATTTTTGACAAACTCTTAGAAAACGTCCAACTCCAAACACGTTCCATTTAATTCTCCGGACACCCTTCTCCGTTTAAATCACGTAGTTTAAAAACACCACATATTAGCATGTGCTCTACCCATGCTAACATGCTAACCGTATGTTCAAATACTGCCAGTCCAGTACACTGTACGCGCTCAATATACGACTTTTAGGTGTTTTAAACAAATTATATTAACTACATGGAAATGTAATATTGAAAAATATCGTTTGAATTGTAATTATTGCCTCTTTTCTCAGGTGCCCGCGTCATGTCCAACAATTGTTTGGTCAGAACGGTACGTTTACGTTGACATTCATTGGCCATCGACGATTTCCTGCGGGACTGTGTATGTGAAGTTCAAGGTCACATGAAAATGTGGGAAATTGTATAGATTTGAACACCAATTTAAATTCGATAGACTGCACAGATATTTAAAATTGAGAATCAAATACCAAAAATGTACTTGTTTTTGCCCCAAAAACTGAAACACTCTTTTTAGTTGTAAAAAAAGACCTTTTGATGTACAAAAATACATTTATTCAAAACAATTTCAAAATGACAGTTTTTTACTGTAGAAATATTGAAATAAGAGATGAAATAGAACATTACGGATCATGCATGCATTGTAGATTTTTTGTGTGCACCAAAGAACATTACAATGCTTTTGCTTTCAGATGATATCAAAAACACAACAATCTTTTACGTAGTTTTCCATTTACTGGAACTGTAGAGTAATGAACCATCACAGATATATAGATCGAAAAACTGTGACTCCCAGTGATCATAGTGGTGAGATAATGAACAACAGGGAAATAAAGCAGATCTGAAATGAACCAGATAGAAAATAATTCATTTTATGGTTTAGAATTTGAATGTGTTTATGCATAAAGACTGCACAAAACCCCTGACTTCGACGTTTGGTCAAATTTGTACGAATGGTTTCAATGCAGAATAAAAGAACCGGTAGACTCTGTTTGCTCCTCCATTTCTTTTGAATGTCAGAGAGCTCATAGGTTTCCAGTCACTATCAGCTTTATTTGTCATTGTGCATTTACATATAAACAAAAAAAAATGTATCCCTATATCTGAGATAAGCAGCATCTCAGCCTAACGTGGGGATTTCTGGTGCTCGCTCAACACTCCACAGTCAGCCTGGGATTCAAAGCAGCAATCCTCCAGCCTGATACTCTTAAAAGTGGGCCAGGATATTCGACCCAGGTTAGAAACCAGCGTCACCATATGTTCTCAGCTACTTTTGAGCACTAAAAAAGAGAAAAGAAGAAAACTGTCTAACTTTTCTGTATGCACACTCTAACTGTTCTGGGTTTGCTGTTCTGTTATTAGGAACCAGAACAAAGTGACACCATCAAAGCCCAATATCCAAACAGAATCCAGCCAAGCAGACGAGCCTCTGCTGATGACATGCGTTGAATACAACAAAGATGCAAAACACAACACTTTGTTTTGCGAGAGCTGCTTCTGTCAGCACAGTGTTTGTTTTCAGATGAGAGCGCTCTTTGTGGTCTAATGGCATATGTGATATGGCAGCCTCTGCTGCGCCCCTCTCTAGACTCACCACCACTCTAGATTTCCTGGCTTCTCTCTTAAAAATGCCGTTCAATTTCGACACTGGATCAGAAACATTGTGGGACATCCACTGTGTCCAGCCTGTCTACTGATAACTGTGGTTTTAACAGAGAGGCTGATGGCAGTCAGCTTGAGGTCATTTTCACCTTACGAATGCTGGAGAACACAGCACGGGTGGAGAGCTGCATGCTGGGAGAACGCTTGTGCTTTCATTCCAAATTAAATGCTAATGAGTGAAGCGAGTTGTGGAAGTAGCCTAATGGCATTAGGGAGAGTGGGCTGATGATATAATCCCATCTCAGTTGTTTGGCATCTGTTCTCTTTGTACACTGTGATACATTTGCATAAACTGTTCCAGTCGCTCTGAAGACAATATTGTGGTCTGGATAAAACAGTTTCTTAGTGTGAAAACCGAAGCAGAAGGGGGGGGGGGGGCAACAGTGATGAGGATTTGATCAAATGTTAAAACAAAACCACAACAATATGAAAAAAATAAATATCATCAGGAATAGATTTGAGATAATTTGAGTGGATTTAATTGAAAAGTGGACAAAATGTGGCCTCACTTTTGGTTGGCTGCCATGTTTTATTTCTTATCTAGGCTCCAAACAACACCAAATGGAGACACTAAAAAATGAGAAGTCAAATTAAAATAAATAAATAAATGAAAGCCTAATGTAAGCCCATTTTACACCCTCATAATTTGAGTATGAGTGTATGTGTGTGTGCAGGGGTTAAAGGATGGACAATGACAAATAAAGCTGTCAAAGTGTGTTGAAAAACATAATAATACATCCATTTATCTGTGTAATATATGACCTTTATATTCATGTACATATAGTTTATATGTACATGTATGTATATATGTGCATATACAGTATGTACACTAAAACCTCAAATTGCTCTCGGAACCAATGGACTCTGGATCTAACGGACATAATTCGTACAAATTGTAGTGCCCGGCTTGACCTTAAAACCCCCACACATTGCGTGCAAAGTCCATTAGTGAGGCCTCATTGTACGATCACAGCACTTTAATGGCAACATTAGACCATCAGTGAAATGTTGTACTGTACCGGGTGTTTTTAGGCTATAAAAGTGCATATGAAAGTATAAATATACACACAACATGTATAAAACAGTGATTCTCAAACTATGGTATGTGACCCACTGAAGTTTCTGGAGCCCCTAGTCATACTTTCTTTCTTTCGTTTTTCTGCGTTGTTTGTTGAACTGAGGTCTGAGAATCACTGATATCAAAAAAAATAAAAATACACATATAAAGTAAAACGCCTAGTGTTCTGAACACAGTCAGACTTCACATACAGACTGATGCATGATGGGCCTTGTTACTTGTTTCACTTTAACGACATGACGGGTCACTGGTAGCCACAGTTGAGTTCATTCTTTCGGTTTTTACCTTTTGCTCCGAGGCCAGTTCTACAGCCTCCAATGAAGAGCACAGGTTAGCGTTAAATGTCATCGATTAACGAGACCACGAACCAGTACTTGAACACCATGACTCAGAACCGCTGACAATATTTAAAATTAAAAAGTAGCATGATGTGACATTTTTAACACAAATAAAATCAGATGTCTTCCTTTAGTTCTCCATTGACAGTCATGTTTTTAGGGCTCATCCTGGTTTAAACCCCAGTCTGTATCTCAATAACCATTCATCATTAAGATTTAAATCTGCAGACTCACACTTTATACAGCAATGCTGTGGGGAAACAATATCATTTTATCTTTGAAATTGATTGTTTAAATAAGTCTAAACTCTACTGAAGAAGCCTGGTGTAAATATAAACATATTTAACATCACCGGTTTGTGTTGACGCCATTTATTTGCTTTCCACCCAAATGGAGGAAAGATTAATGTGTCACATACCAACACAGACCTGCTCATGAGCGCCCTCTACTGTACACACATCACCTGGCAGTAAACCAAAAACAGAAGCGGAAGCAGAGCACACGGGGCTCTTTGGACCGACAATTAGAAAAGAACTATTTACACAACATTTGCCTATCTACAACACAGAGACTGTGTCCTCAGTCAGAACATGCACAAGTCAAAGACCTTAGCAAAACAAAGTCGATTTCTTAAAGTAATGCTCAGTCCTTTCACCCTCCCCTCCCCCGACGGTCCGTCGCAGCATCCTCCATCACTGCCATGGCTCTCTGACTGTGAGCATGTGGAAAGTAAGAGTATATACACGGAAACAGAACTGATGATAATATTGTACATGTCAATAATATTCCCTGTGTGACTGGAGACGTTAAAGTCTATATAGAGGCAGAAATGATTCTCGAAACAAACTCTGAAGGGACATTTACAGAAGGGTCTTCCTCAGTCTCCAAGTCAAGGTTCCAAAGAACTATGTACCGTGAGGTCACGCCCACAAAACCCAGTAGTTACTATAATCTTTCCAAGTAAGTTTGACATTGGCTGCGCGGATGCCGCAGTGGCACACATCCATGCACGTCTGTAGAAATGAGGTCCTTTAGAAAAACTATTAACATCTGCTGTGTGTAATTACAAAACAGAAAGAGAGGGTGGAGTGAGAGAGGAAGGGAGATAGGGAGAGAGGCTGAAAAAGAAACAAAAAACAGAACCAGAGAGAAACGACATAAAGAGAGAAGAGGGGGGGGGGTGAAGAGGGAGAGAAAATCCCCTTGATACCACATGACTGGTCTCTGTACACTGGCTTCCACCTCCCTCCACCTTTAGACACTAGTACAGTTTGGAATCTCCCGTGTGCTTTCGCAAGCGTTGCCGACTCCTCCTGGAGAGGAAAACAGTCAAGAACAGAAAACATTACTTTATTTACAAGTGGATTTCAAATCTGTTATTATGACCTTATAATAATGTAGCACCACACGTTAGCACTTGCTGAATGTCACAATCATAATCACTCTAATTTAGTCCAAGATGCTCTACAACAGCAGCCACAACCTTCTACCGGCCGTAGCGTCTCAGCTCACCTCTCCTTGGTCGGCAACACATACGTGTCTATTCTAGTGGAAGCCACAGATCTTTAAACAGCTGGATGGAAAACTGGTCCATCAAGGGGAAGCTGGGTCAGCAAATACCCAGCCGAGTACACATGAATGGTGGCCATTCCTTTAAATTAAGAAAGTAAATGACTTACGGACTGGTACCGGTCCGGGCACCAGGGATTAGGGATCCCTTTTTTCACAGAAAAGATACTGGTTCTGCTGCTGCTTCAGTCAGCGAGTTCAAATGTTATATTTTGTTCATTAAATCTTTTTTTGTAATCACCATGGAAACACTCGCTTACAAAAACTAGACGGCAGAAGGCGAGCAGTGTTTGTGCAACAGTGAGATGTAATGACTCTCAGTGGACTTCAGTTTCCTGTCAGGAGAGGCCATATTAAGAATAATATTGACCAGCGAAAACACAGATGAAATCATTTGGATTGAGTCAAGAGTACTGCCAATGTCCTCCAGGGGTCAGGCTGCTCGTGTAGAGCAGTTGGTCCTGACTTTACTAGAAAAAAAACGAACAATCTGGAGCGTGCTGAAACGGCCTCAGCCTCTGTGCTGCTGCTGACCTTTGAAATCCTGCGGCTGTTTTCTTTAACATGTTGGTGTTATTAATTATTCAGGGCCCTTGGTATCTCAGGCCGCGCTGGAATCTCATCTTTATTATGTTAAACCTCTTCCTTTTTATTGTCTCTCCCTCTGCTCCTCACTAAATAATTACACAAAGAGCTGGAGACACATTCAGCTGCCAAGCGTCTATTTAAAAAATAATTCTAATTAAATAACCTAAACACGCCTTAGGAGAGGCTCTGCATGTTAGCAGATATTTTATACGCAGAGTGTAAATGGCTTATTTTCATAAATGTAATAGGATTATAATAGATATATGCTATATATATGGGTCGCTCATCCAAGGTGCCAACAAATTTGTCAATGAAGTTAAAACAAGATGAGATGGACATTGGCTCATGTAAGTGTTGATAAAAAAAGTGACCGCACTAATGGATCTCAGAGTGGGAACTGTGACACAGCTCCATCAGTCTCTCCTCCACCCGTGTGCTCCAGACACACTTTGTCTCCACCTGCCATCACAACAGTCCTCCGCTCTACTTACTCTTCACCCTGGCGTCCATCTCCTTCTCCATGAGTTCCTTGGATGTGGGGAACTCACTCAGAGTGATTTTAGGCGTGCTGTCGGTCTGGCCCACTGAGCCAATCATCTCCTGCTCCTTCTCCTGGTTCACCTCAGCGTAAATGTTGATCCAAGGAATTTTTCTGAAGACAAATACAAATGAAACCAGGAGATCAGCCTCGGAGAACAACTTCAGTTGACAGGACCAAGATTTGGTTCATGTTTAGGCCGAAGAACTAGACCTGCTGACGACATGACGTGGACTAAAAAAATTAAATCATCAAGAAGATCATGCAAAGCAGAGGTCACCGAATGTTTTTTTCAGATGGCATCTTGGGGAACCAACAATTATTTGATATAAGTTTGGAATAAAGTTGCAGGCCGAATTGAACGGTTTAGTGGGCCAGATTTGGCTGCCAGCCGCCGGTTGATGATCACTGTTGTAAAGAGAGGTTTTCCGACATCCCAAATCAGTGTTGGACACAACCAGGAAGACTATTCCTACTTATTTAGGGAAAGCCCACTTGATTTCAAGTCCAGCTTAACCTCTCAGCTACTGTGACTCCTCTCTACTTCGCTGAAAAGGTCAGGAAACAACGGCACAAACGATCCAACCAGCAGACCTGTTTAGTTAAAATACCTTAAAAAATAAAAGAACTGCAAAAAAATCATGGGATAATAAACGACTTCTGCCGACTTAAACCTCTGCACACTCAAGTGTTTCAGGATTAGCCTTAGATGAACTCCATCCTCTTCCTTAATGCACGACAATTTCCAAACTGTGTTGCTAGCGCACAGTAATTACACCTCGCTAACTAATTTATGGTCAATTTACAGACGTATCGGCATCTTTTCCCTGAAGGCATGTACAAACCCTAACATACATCTTTATTTAGCCACCAACCAATTTATTTCCAATTACTGTTCATTTCGGTTATTAATTGCTCTGTTTTGTCAACGGTGAGGCTTCTTGAAAAATGCATCGTCGTTGGACTAATGGGCTAAAATTCTGCGTTCATAATTAATGACAGCTTTTCCCATTTCCCTCAGACTTTTCAAGGGGATCATTTTGCGAATGAATAATTTATTCAGCAAATGCTTTTCCCATTTCCCTCAGACTTTTCAGGGGGATCATTTTGCAAATGAATAATTTATTCAGCAAACAGGCACAGCGACTGCGTATTAAAGCGTTTAATGGTCCTTCTTTTGGCATTTTATCACCGGCTGCCACTGCTTTAGCTGTTGGTAGAACACGTCAAATCAGATGCTAATTGATCGAGCTCGTCGGGCATCATCAAAATGGATGATGTGGTTGCACATGGACGTCAACTTGGACTTATCTTGACCTTTTGAATTTGTAGATGAGGAACACGGCCAGGCCCAGGAAGACGACGGAGAGGAGCATGAGCATCGCCGAGCTGTTGTGTCTGGGGCTGGAGTCGACCAGAGGAGCTGTGGGAGGAGAAGAGAAGATGTCAAGATCTCTGTCAGTTCACAGTGAAGGACAAAAGATCAGTCAGGTGTTCTCTCTTCAGGTCAGCCAGTACTGAAGTCTGACTGTCAAAGGTGTTGTTACAGAGAAGATAGTCCAAATAAAACGTACAGAAAATCATGTCCAGGACAAAAAAAAAGAAAGAAAGAAAATGTTTGCAAATGAAACAACACACAAAAAGAAACACTTTAAATAGAGTTAAATACAGACCTTTAAATATCAAAACTTCAACATTAAGGAGGTTTTATTGCAACTGCTATTACATTTCTTTTTTTTTTACTATTTATATTAATAGTAGTATTAGTTAAAATCAATAATAAAATACAGCAATATTAATATTAATGATCAATTATTGGTCAATTATTTGTGTTATTTTCATTAAATAATTATAAATGAATGAATCAATTTTATTTTTTAACAAAAAAAAAAAAAAAATTTGTTTTAATAAAATATAATTTTGTAAGATATTTTAATACAAAAAAATAATTATAAATCTTAAATGTAAAATAAAAACTCATCAAATAATAATAATAGTAATGATATTACTACTACTAGTACTAACTAATAGACAGTTATTGAGTGTTTCTGTTCCCCCAGGCTTTGTTCCTGGCTGTTGAGGAGGTTATCATCAGACAAGCACTGGGGAGTACGGAGAATAAAATTTCTCTTTAACTCAGACTGAATTATGAATTTCATTAAAACTATAAAAATATATATATATTAAAAGGCAAAGAAAATACTCTGAAATAATTACCATAATTACAGTTTGACTTTATGTTCTTTTTCTTTCCCGCCTTAATTATTCTCCTTTATATGAAGGGAGCAGAAACGGAGTAAAATTTTCTCTCTCCCGTCTTTCCCTGCTCCTCAGCCGTCACACTCGGAGACGGAGGCACACGTGTGCCTGACCTTTCTCCAGCTGCTCCCAGGCTCTTTATGGCTTTTCTTCAGAGATGAAATATAAAGTGGTTTCCAGCTGGGTTCACCTCCAGTTTGGCTTCAGTGCAGCGGAGAGCCGAGCGACACGCAGCAGCACGTGGCCGGGCATTAAAAGGATAGTTCAGGGCTTTTTGAAGAGCAGTTGTCTGAGGTGCTGACACCAGCTGTGCTGCAGGAGCCTCCATCACTGAGCACCAGCCTCAGACAGAAACTGCTCAAAAACATCAGTGCCGTCAGGGAACAAAATGAGGGAAAACAAACAATTTTGGCTGCAAAACAACAGGTTGGTCTTGATAAATCTACACAATCTTCAGAACAGAAACAAGAACTCCCTGCTCAGACAGCGGAGAGTGGGGTTACACAACTAATCGAATCTTGATCATGATCACGATTGTGGCTGCCACGATTAAATTAATCGTTGGGGATACTGACATTTAAAAATTGGGGTCTGCTGCATATTAAATTAAGCACTTTCTTAACCACCAGGGGGCAACCAAAAGCTGACTAATTAGGAAGAGAGTGAGATGTGAGACATAATGGCAGGAGCAGAAGGTGAGGAGGAGCTAGCGCTAACCCAACAGAAATCATGTGCTTTGCAGTTTAGCTGTGTCTGCTAACTCAGCTAACTTATTCAACCACCTGAAAAACACCACAAACTCAGGGAAGATAAATGCCTGAAGGCCTGAAGGCTAACGCTGGTTTCCTAAATCCCCGTCCGTGTCCAGCGTCAAATCACACAAACCTAACGGGAAAACCTGCACCAGACGACACCGTCGTATCCATCTACGGGTTAAGATATGGATCAGAGTTTTATACAGACGTGTCCAATCCGTAGAGTCAGAGATTTTAGATCATGGGCTCAGAGGACTCAGGTCGCTGCAGGTATGTTATTTAACCCCTGGTATCTACAGTCTATTTTCATTAGACATTGTCCATCTGTCCTGGTGTGTTAATGTATTTTTATAGCATTAATGCATTAATTCATTAACAAGTGCACAAATATTTTGTCGCTCATTAATGCCCCTTTATTATTATTGTTATTATTTCAATAGTCCGTTGTTTAATGGTCCGGAATAGACATGGAGACAAACCAAGGATCACGGGAGGGGAGTGTGTGTATCAGTATTGGTACTGGCGTCATCGCACCTGTCAGCCAATGAGAACAATTGGGGGCCACGTACCACTAGAGAGCATTGGTGGTCCCACAGTTTGAGAACCACTGACTTAGATGTTAATCTTCAACTTTTCTATTTCGGCTGGCCCCAACAGTGGCGTTGAGTCTTTTCTCCAAATCCTCCTCATGCCCTTAAACTGTACAGTGCTCTTTCTCAAGGACTAAATAATCAACATAATTACACTCGGCGTAACACTCATTTTGTGCTTGGATGGCTGTAAAAAGAAGGAGAACAGATGTTCAGCTTTTGATGGCAGACATAAAGGATCCCTGCTCTCATGAAGCTCCCCTTCAATCCCGGCCCCTCCCTCACTCCCCGTGATCCTGTGCCTTGGATACGGTGGCAGACTGACAAGAATTTTAATGGGGACACTAAAGAAAAATTCCTGTTGTCACACCACAATGAAGTTTCATGGCACATGAAAATTAAAAAGAACAAATGAGGGAAATGAATCATCCATGCCTGACACGCCAGGGCTAATTCATTTTTTTGACAGCCATGTCAAATTTGCGTTTTCACGCAGCTGACAGCTCATATCCTGCCCTCTGGTGGTGGACCTAAGTGCCAAACGGTTGATGACTCAGTGACAGCGTTAAATAAAAGAAGTGTCGCCTTACCCAGTGTTAACTGTGTGTTGTACACAATCACCCTGGCTCCAGGTTTGAGCTCAAACTCCACCAGGTTTTGGTTGAGTGCATTGACGATGACATCAGACGCCTGTCAACACACACACAAACACACACTGCTTCAAACACAACAAATACACAAAGTTTCTGTGCTGCAACAGCTGAGTCTCAAGGATGTTATATCATTGAATTCCGTTGAGGGATTTAGACTGACATATGTTGTTGTGTGGAAACAAACTGAGTGAGAAAATGTGTCTTCATTTACAAATTAAGGCAGAACCACATCAATGATGCAGAAAAAAAAAGTTTTTTTAGTATTTTTTAAGTATTTTTTAAAATTTGAATATTTTGGCCAGAATTATTAAAATACTAGAATTCTTTCCTCAGATAAAACATTAAACAGTCCTTGATTCTCATTGACGCTGTTTTTTTAAATAGTTTTTAAAGTTCATCTGATCCAGACCTGCTCCAGTTCCTCCTCTCTCCTTTTCTTGCCCTCTGATTGGTTCTTGTGCGGTAACAGGAAGAGTTCAGCAGCCGTGGGAACTCCTGGAAACACAGCCACCAGGAGCTGGTCCTCTGGGAAGTCACACACCTGTGGAAGAGGAGCGAAGGGGACATTTTTTTAGATGATGCGCTGTGACAAAAAAGATTTTAAATATTCAAAAACAAAGAGATTAGTGAGCAGCCGCATGTCTACAGTGGTGGGAGTGTGAAGACATGAAGACTGGCTCTAAGTTGGTCAGAACTCTAATAATGCTGTTTCTCTCGTCACAGACTTAATTACGCAGTTTAACATTCAAGGAGCACTTCCTGTCTGGTCTAAATAGAATCAATAGAAGAAGAAAGAGGCAGAAAGACATCCTTTATGTCTGCAGCCATTATTTAAAAGTCTATTTCTCTGAAAACCTTTGTGGAAAAAAAATAAAATAAAATGACCTGGAAGCATTTTAGCAGCAGCCAGGATAAGAGTTCTCTGAATGATAGAGGAAGGAGCCTCAGTGCTTCCTATCTTATTTCCTTCAGAGTTGGAAGCAGTCGCATATCCTTCAGCAAAGGAGAGGAGAGGAGATAACGCACGCAACCCTCCCTGCTGTTCCTGTGCGTAGACACAGGAGGCGCAGCCTTTAATGTGGTGCACTGTGGCTTCGAAGCAGAAAGGTGTGAAAAGATTTTTCTTCTTTTTTTTTATCCCTGACACAATCCTGTAAACATGTAGATCTGCCCACCACTGAGCTTCATGTCCATAATTACACGTGTGTGCAGTCAGCAGTGGAGCCTTGGAACATGTACCTCACATTTTCACTGCAGTAAAAATGTTTCTGTATAAAATGGAAAAACAGCTTAATCCTGAGAGACATATCATAGAAAATACTGCTAAACAGGGAGGTTTCAGCCAATGGGTTCATTCATAATGAATGGCTTCATTATGAGTGGGAGCCAATCCCAGCAGTCGTCAGGTAAGGGCAGGGTTGCACACTGCTGGACATGAGGTCACATCACAAGGTCACATATAGAAACTGACAACCATTCACACTCACATTCACACTAGAATTAACACCTATGATCAGTTATTTGATCGAATTTGATGTCTGCCGCCACCTAGTGGCATCAACTGAAATTATAGTTAATTTGTTATGTATGAAAGTGAGTGTTTTTGAAGGGCCGGATTAGTAAACCGAGTGGGACATATCTGGCCCACGGGCCGTAGTTTGGGTAAGCAATCTTGCATTACTCTGAATCCTTCACAGCAATGCACGTAGATTTCTTACCTTTTTTTTTTTGTTTTTTTGATTGTAAAATTCTTATTCTTTTTAACACATTTAATACATCTTCTATTACTGCTGCATCGCCTCCCCCTACAGGCTGGTGTGTAACTATTATTTTGACTCACAATTATTACCATTTGTCTCTTCTGTTCGTGTGACCCAGCGTTGGACGGGAGAACCCCACCCTCCCCTGATGAAGATAAATAACTGAATGTCCCTTTAACGCAAACACGTGGCCATGGAAGTTTGTACTAGATTTTTTAAATTGTGAACACAGAGTTCCTCGCTCATTAATAACCTTTTCTTTGAGGCCTGAACATCTCATTTTAATATGAGTGAGTTGACGGCTGTCACGGAGACGTTGTAATTATCCTGCACCAGAATCCAGACGCCTGTGGGCTAACAGCAGTTGTTCACTTGAAACAAATGCTGTGCAGAGGACCGTTTTCTGAAAGTTTTCCTTTCATTTTTGGCTGAATCTCATTTTTCAAAGATGTCAAAGGCTCAGAAAAGGGTGAAGCAAAATGTTTCTGTTTTTGTTTCCAAAGGGACATATTAGCCCATAACACACACACATACACACACAGACAGGCGGTGGTTGCACGGCCTGGGTGGTGATCATTCTTCATTTTCACTCCCTGTGATATTTTTATCTTTACTCTATGGTCTGGGTGGACAATGGAGGGAGGTAGAGCTGCAGCACATCAATTATACGGCCCAGGGATTGCTATTTGAGTAGTAAAGTGGTGGACAAATGATAGCCCTGGGCAGGAGGAGGGCTGGTGAAGGGCAGACCAAGTGAAAAGGATGGCAGAAGAGGCAAACAGCCCCGCGGGGGTAAGAACATCGATGCACTCGGAGCATGTTTGTTTTCATTGCAATCAGTCATTGGTTTAGGAAGCCTCGCTGTTATTGCTCTGCAAATTGCCAAACAGTGCAATATCTAAAAAAAGGGAGGGGGAGACGGAGGTGTGCAGCTCAGTGGACGACCTCTTCAAAGTCTATCTCAAAAATATCTCTTTGAAGATGTGAGGATGAGCACTGATGCATTCAACGATATGATTCACAATGTTTTTTGTTGACGATACACAGAACGTCCAATGAAAAATTGCCTCTGTTTTCATCCCATTGTAATATTTTCATGATTATCGATGCTAATCGTCTGTGAACTCCCGGAGCCGCAGTGCCATTCAGTCTCTGACAGTCATAACAGGTTGAAGAGAATTATTTTGCCATCTGTCATAAGAAAAAAAAAACATTACTAAATGATTACTAAATGATTTGCTAGTGTCACCTGCTGGTGAGATTAAGACGTTGAGTTAAAAAAAGATTAAACATAAACAAAGTCTGAGAGTCACAGGTTCGTTACCATGGAGTCGGTCAGAATTATTCACCACATACTTTCTTTTCTTCGCTCCTGAATTACGAAAAAAAATATTCCAAATGACATAAAAGGAAACAAAAAAAGAGTTATTCTTCGGCCGCAGCAGCACACAGCTTCATCTGCCTGTGTGCTGCTGAGCATTTCACCTGCTTCAAAACTGGTCCAGAAACCACCCACCCGTGATTCCGATGATAAATATTCCACACATGAAGCGCAGCAACAAAATACAGTCGGCTTCTTCAAGAGGTGTGAAAGCCGAGCTGAGGGAGGGGGGGGTTTCAAACGATGTGAACTGCCCACGCTCACACTCAGAGCTCCTCTACTTCTCCCACGTCTGCGCACACACACACACACACACTCACACGTGAGCAGCCATTAGTTTGAAACACAGTGACAGGTATTGGCAGCCAGCGAGCCTCCGTGTTTGGAGTTTCCAGATCATTTTCATGTGTGACTTTAAAGATCAGAGAAGAGGAGGCTGTGAAGTTCTCCCCAGGAGAAAACCAAAGTCTTCACACCTGTCACTAATGAACCTCAGAGCGACCCCAGGGCGTTCACCTGTCATCGCTGTCAGCCAACCACTGTGGGCAGAGAACGCTCGGTATACAGCAGTGTTCAACAGTTCGGCCCAGTGTCTGGGTTTTTACTCTGTGCCCTCTTCTCTCAGACCTCTTCCCAAATCCATGGAGTACAAGAACAAAATAAAACTGCACCGCCATTTTTTAAAACTAACATCTGTGTCATGGGCAGCAGTCAAGGACATGGTTCGTGACATCTGTGGCTCTGCCTGCAGGGGGCAGCCAGGTTGCTGGTTTCGGGGTCAAGAGAAGACAACCTCAACCAGACATTAGGATACTCGGTCCAGGATGACAGGTGGAAAAAAAACAACCTAGTAAATGTATTTACATGCCTGAAACTTTAGTGCGGGGCTTTAAGTTTTGCAGAAATAACTGAGAAATGTCTGTGAGATGGTGAGAAGTAGTTGTTGAAATGACAGTGAGGGAAGAAGACAGAGAGACAAGAAAGGAGGAGGAGAGGGAGGAGGAAAGACAGGCACAGGGAAAATTAAAATCACTCACTTGCAGCACAGCCTTCCTTATTACTCTGCCAACGTCCTGCCGCCACTCGGGTATGTCGGGGTTGAACTCGTCCAGATTAGGAGAGAAAGATAAAAGCAGAGATTTGAAGAATTCTGTGGAGGAGAATAGAAACGAGGAGAGGAGACGGAGGAGTGGGGGAAAGAGGGGGGTGAAGATAAAGGAGAATCAGCCATTAATTCACTCAGGTCAGTGGGGCTGTTTTGTCATAGAGCTGTGCCAGCTGTCATTTCACTGTGACTTGTAATTTTAAAGTCGTGAGGAGTTGATGAGGAGAGGGAGAAGAAGAAGGAGGATGAGAAGAAAGAGAGGAAGAAAGAGAAAAAAGTCTTCTCATTCTGAGCTTCCTTTATACCACACACACACACACACACACACACACACTGTCAGATTACTGTATTTTAAATGAAGGCATATCATTAAGAGGTTTAAGGACAGGAGAAGTTTAATCTCAGAAACACTTTTTTCCAAAAAGATTAGCTGAAAAATGATGGTGAGCAAGAGTTGAGCGAAGAGATGAAGAGTACAACGCAGAAAAATACTTTCTTGATATTTGTTTTCACTCACTGTAGTTAAGTTAAGTTAAAAGTTTTATATTTATCCTTTAGCACAGCTTAAGGCTAAAGCACATAGCCATTTTGTAGACCTAGGCAAATTAATGGTTTGCCTCGCACCCCCCCAGATACTTTAGCCCCACCTCCCACCAAAAAACACACAATACCTCCAACATCAATGGACAACAGTCATATGACAAACATTAGAGGTCTCATTTTTTACTCAAACACACCAACACAAACAAACACTAGTTATTGATCAGCCTTCAAGTCTTAACTGTGTGACGATGAAAGATGAACGACGAGGAGACAAAGACTGACCTTTCACGGCGATGCTCTTGGTGTCCTGCAGAATGACGCTTCCTGCAGACACCTGCACAGTGACGGTGTGCATGCCTTCATTAGTGAAGGTGTACGAGATGCTTCCGTCCAGCGTTATCATCGGCTGGAGGTTACAGGAGCGGGTAACACATAAAGACAAAGGTTAAAATAAAGGTTAGAAGCCAGCGGCGTTGGCTTGATCCTAAAGTTTTTGGTTTTAATGATAGAAAATGTGGTTGGGTAAAAAAAAAATAGACACAAAAGTACAATATGAATGAATCATTAATCATTAATCATGGAGTAGCTTCAGATTGATTGCAATTAATCATGATTAATCGTGATACATCAAAATAGCCGAAGAGGATCAAAAAAGAATATACATTATACTACTTACAATTCTAAGCAGTATAATGTATAAACTCAATGTTATTGGTGGAGAATGTTTACTGCATTTAAACTGGAAGCAATTTGGTGATAACACAATTCAACTTGTTAGCTGTTAACATTTGTCATTGAAGCCCCGCCCCTAGCATTCTCATTGCTTGAGACGTGTGATGACAAAAATTCAAGTCCACCACTTCAAATGATGTCCGAGCTCACCAGTATACAGTCTCTGTGATTTATACTTCATCTGTTCATCTGTCATGAGAAAATACGAGTAACATTTGGTCATATTTGTATGTATTTTATGCCTTCTTACTGAAGGTTGATTAAAAAACAGAGCCAGTTTTTTTTTCTTACATATTATAATTAATGACTTTTCTCTCTGTCAAAATAATCTTTATTTATAGTCTTATTCTGGCGGCAGTGTTTGTTTCATCGTGAAGAAAGTGACTTTCCATGTGCAAATGAGAGATAGTGAGCGTTTTAATAAGCCGCTGATGTTACAGCTGGCACCGAAGCTCCATTGCTCATGTGCACTTCAACAGACAGACCTATGAATCACGTGTCAAGGTGTATAAATGAAGCCCGTTCAACTGGAACCATTACCTCACTGCTGTTTCCTAACCACCAGAAATAGGTGACGGTCCGTGGGTGAGTGGGCAGAACCATCGCTGTGATGTTCACCTCCTTGTTCCTTATGACCACAAAGGGAGCCAGGAGCTGAACATGCTCCACAGGACCTGAGAGCCAGACCAGAGCGTTACACTGATGTTTGTAAAGTCATCTCCACTATAGTGTTTTCATTTCAGATAAAAAAGAAACAGATAAAAAAAAGGTCAGTAGTCAACTTCACAAATCCCTCAGGAAGAAGAAAGAGAGAAAACACAGACAAAGAGTTTAGTGAAAGCAGCTCAACGTCCAGAGAGCTGCGTGTTGGCTGTGAATAAAAATAGATCACAAGTGTGAAGGTGTGTCACGGCCTGGCTGATAAACTACAGCCACCTGTCTTCATGAATTCTGCTGCAGGATCCCAGCCCTGAGTGGGATAAATGGATGAAGATAATGGATGGGTGCATGGATCCAGACTAGGATACAGATAATGGATGAGTTGATAGAACCAGAGTGTATAAACCACAACCAAAAGATTTACACCAGAGCAGTCGCTGCCAATATATGGAGGAATGATGGATGACACATATTTATCTTCTAAGAAAACATATAGGGAAAAAAAAAAACCTACAACAATTTTCTAAAATGGAAACGTTTCTAGGTGGTTTTAAATCAGAGAGTTGCCAGTTTAAATCCTTCAAACTACCAATTGAATTACTGATTAAGAATGCAGAGATTTTCTTTTAACTTAAGCCACAGTCAGCCTGGCAACATCCATTTTATTTATATGGTCACTTGAACCAGACAAAGGAAGGAAAAAACTAGAGAAAAACATCTGAAAGAAAAAAAAAATCCCAAAATACCAATTGTCTACACTTTTTACAGGCAACAATCAGCAGCAGTGACAGCTGTGAATTAGACCTTAAAGACAACTGTTAATGATACTGTGTCAGCAGCGGGACACACTGTCACTGGAATGATCAGGGAACAAACGGCTCAGCACCACAACAACCACACAATCAATGTCAGCCCAGGGGGGAGGTGAAGAGGAGGAGGAGGAAGAAGAAGAAGAAGAGAGTCTGTTACTGAAACCTCAAATCTAACACTGTCACTTCATTTACAGTCGCTGCCTCGGAGCAGAAAATACATATGATGATACAGTGATGGAAACATTTGCAGCAACATTCAGGAGATAAATGACAGGGAATCATCTTGATAATGGACTTTAATGTGTTGGAAGATGAAACACATAAAATAATAGATAGATTAAAAAGTAAGATATGTAGTACTAAACAAAGTACCACAACTATATGTACAGACATGTCGACATGAACTGCAATAAAACCCACATCTAAATCAAAGCCTGTCTAAAAGTAGTGGAAAAAAAAAAATCGAACAAAAAACACAACAACATACGCAGACGTACGGATAAAAAAAAGAAAGAAACGGAGACAAGAGAGCAGCGACAGGTTTGAGTGACTGAATGAGCCAGTGAAATATCAGCTCAAACAAACACCTGAAGAACTCTTACGGTTTCCTTTAGAAGCTTGAAGTGATACTCTGTCACTGTCAGCCGAAAAGAGCAGGGCGACAGTGACAGTTTTCTTCTTTTGAAATGTGAGCTGCTGTGTAAAAAAAAGTACTTTTTTTTTATAGCCCAATGTTTGAGTTATGGATATTAAGAAACCAGAAGTGCGTCTCAGCAGACACAGGTTTACTGCTGGACCAACTGAGGCTGAGAAACTGCTGTGTTCTGTATGGTTCACCCAGAGGTTAGACTGAACTTTCACGCTCATGTGTTGACTGTATTATGGACTGACATCAACAGCACGGTGATGGACCCAAAAATGTAATTATCAGGAGAAGAAACAGAGTGACAAACAAACGGGCAGAAAGATGAAAGAATCCTTACATGTGACGTGGAGGGTGCTGTCGTAGCCCAGTGTGTTCTCTGCCAGCGCTGTGACTCGGAATATTCCAGCAGATTTGTAAATGTGTTTGATTCCCTCCTCCGTCCAGCTCAAGTTGGAATACGACACCGCGGTGCCATCGCCAAAGTCCAGCTGGATGTTGGTTCGCAGAGAGTCTCCCTGAAACACAGCACCAGAGTTTAAACCATGCACAATGAGCATTTGAATGAGACAGAACACAGATAAAAAAATCAGGAATTTTACAGATCTTAAAATAGACCCTTGTGGAACTCCAAATATAAATATTAGAATAACCACTCTGGGCATGATGTAAGGGTTAGATCAGGGGTGTCTCATTTTGGTTTAGGGGCCGCATACAACCTAATTAGATGTCAAGCAGACAAAAAGTCGGTCTCTACCCCATACTGCATATTTAATGAAATATTACTTTACACAACACTTGTTTGTACACTGTTTGTGTAAATTTTATAGTTTTCAAAATTCATCAAGCGGGCCGGATTGAAACCGCAAGTGGGCTGGTTTTGGCCTGTGGGCCGTATGTTTCACCCCTCTGAGTTAGATGATGTCAGCGAATATTTGTTTGAACACATTTTACCATAAGTGTTTAATTATTACGTTTTAATCATTTTTACCATCTGCACAGATGTAATTAAAATGTTCCAGTGTTAATAAGTTTAGTTAAATTAATTCCTTAAAACACACATACAGTACAGTATAAAGAAAATCCCAAAGACATTTTCAAGCAACACACATACAGTACAGTATAAAGAAAAGTGAGTGTCATGACAGACCATCAAATACAGAGGCTGGAACAAAAGTCTAAAACACTAAAATACTATTGATATTAAGCTACTATTTTTTTGCGTGATTTTAATAAATACATTTTAATAATAATATGAATAACAATAGACTTTAACTGAATGAATATATTCTTGGTTTTGTGAACATGCATTATATTGGTAATTATTAATAGAGACACGGTAGCCACTGAGATAAAATCAAACCTTAATGTCTGTTCGAACCCAATTTAAACATTTAAAAACCGTCCACGAGTTCTTCCTGACTCGCTGTAATCTGAATTCTATTAAACCGTTCACTCTCCAAACTCCCACTGAGAAAAATCTATATTTCTAGCCTGCAGGACAGCAGGAGCTGTCCGTGGTGCTGACCTGTCTGACACATTTCTTTGCAAGAAGTGTGAATTTAAATAAATGGTTTTCAGCAAACAAATCAGAAATGAAGACATTTGAAGTCGATGTTGACGGTAGAAGTGGTTGAAAAGCCTTAAGGTCAGGTTGTTGTGAAACTACAGATTTCTTTTTGTTTTAAAAGAGTTCACATAGAAAGTCAAACTTTTTTTTGTTATTTTCAGTTGTGGAATAAATGCCCATGACTGGAATAAGGAAGAAAATTAAGTTCTAAAATATCAGGAATAAAAATAAAATAAACTCAAACTCAAGCATGAGTTGTTACAGCTTTTTTTTTCTCTCATTAGTGGTGTCTGTTTTTTAGACATTTTTTTTAATTGAAGAAGTTAAATTCCAAATAATATATTAGATGAACTCTCAAAAAATGTGTTTGGCATTAATACACCGCTGTGGTGTAAAAAGTGTGCTGCGTCATACGTTGTATGGCACAAACAAATACAATTGTTAAGGGGAAGATTTTCACAAAACTGCAGTCAGTGTAAATGTATCGATCTTCCAACATATTTTAAAGGAGCTTTTGTTTTGTTCTTACAACAATGGAATAATTATCCCCCGAGTCAAGTGCGCTTGTTTCTGGCTCTGACACATAAAAACACCATTAAAAAGTCAGACTGTGAGGCTGTGAGCAGCACACACTGTGAACTGCTGTGTTAGCTCTACCCTCACACTACATTGTTTCCAACCCAAACATTTGACTCCTGAAGCTTGTTAGGAGAACGGAACGGCCTGGCAGGAAACCACCACCTCAGCCTCAGCACAAAATCCTAAAGGGCTAGTCTGTGATTTAAAAAGATGAGGTAATATTCAAATGTTAATTCGTTTTTTAGACAATGGAGGGGTAGTGTTTATTCAGTTCAAGATGGAGCAGGTGGAAGAAAAGAGAAAATTCATGATTTTCTTTTTATGTAAAAGTAGAGGAGAACTGGAACAGGGTGCAGTGATTGAAAAGGGTCTGTAGAGAAAAGGCTTAGGAGCCGAAAGGTGGAGAAAGGGCAGACACAAACAACTCAAAGAAAACTTTGTTTCTTTTTCCTCCATCTAATCTTCCTTATTGTTGTGGAGGGAGTTGGAACCGATCCCGGTTTATTATTTCAGAGTGGAGTAGAGTTGACTTTTAAACAGCAGCTCGACTTGTGCAAATGAAACCAACAGGACTCAGTGGACAAAATACAGGAAACGTAGAAACCCTACTGAAAAGTCTGGTTTCACTACACTACCAGGTAAGAAAGTACATTTAAAATACTTCATCAACAGAAACAAAAATACTGGTACTAGATCCCAGGGTGACAAACTTCTGAATCTGCCTTTTAAATGATCTGAATATCAACATTTTATTATAAATTAATAACTTTCTGTACATTTCTATATCCTCTTTCACTCTGACGGTGTGACAGGAAGTGCGTGAATATCCATGTGTGTCATCCTGAACCCTCCCAAGATGAACACAAACGTAATTGTTGGAGGCTTTGGCTGCCTCGCCAACCAAATATCCAACCCAAACCTCCCATCATCCCTCAGGCCTATGAAGGCCAATCTCCCAGCATCCTCCTGGCACACTGCAGCACCAGGCTGGGATCTTCACTGAAACGCTGCATTAACACAGTCGCCCTGCCAAAAAGAACAATCAAACAATTTGAGTCTACATGCTCCCCTGCTCCGACCATCCCTCTCTCCCTCAGCTCCTTCTTTGTGTGCGTCCAAGGGTGGAAACACAGACAGTCTGTGTGATGGTTCTGGGTATAATACACAGGCCTTCGCCTGGAAATGATCTTTCTGATTGGCTGTAGGGGAAGAGATTTGAGCAAAGGAGGGGGGTGCTAACAGTGTGAGCATTGTTCAGGGAAGTAAGTAAGGCACACAAACAGGGCCGCAGTTTGGAGACACCACACTCACTTAGCTGCTCCTGGTCCAGTCTGTCCATTGTTCTTAGTTCTGTCCTTCACATCAGCTGATTTGTTACTGTCATATCATATACAGTATGACATTACATGACAACACAAAATCAGGTCACGGGTGTTAATGATAAGTTCACAAGACTATGTTCAAATAAGCCTCAGACAATCTGAATTTATGTGTACAAATGTCCAAGGTACTACTGTACATTTGGTCTATTGTGGGCTGACATTACCATTTGTCTTTACTAGGTAGCTAACGTAGCTCTAGTGTCTACACCAGGGCTGTTGTAGCTAATGTTAGCTCTGGTGTCTGTACCAGGGTTGTTGTAGCTAATGTTAGCCCTGGTGTCTGCACCAGGACTGTTGTAGCTAACATTAGCAATGGTGTCTCTACTAGGACTGTTGTAGCTACTGTTGGCTCTGGTGTTTGTACCAGGACTCTGGTTACGTGACGTTAGCTCTAATGTTTGCGTTATGTTCATTGTCTTGTTGACAAATGAGCTTTATGTGCAATACTGCCATCTACAGGCTAGGTTATGTATCAGTAAGAGTGGTGTGAGAGAGTATAAGGACTTGAGAGGGGTGTGATTTTAACACACCATTTAGTCTGTAATTAAATCATCTAACATTCCCGAGCTTTAATTATATTTTTGTTGGAGCCAAAATACTGTATAATTTATCTCATCGTCCTGATTATGGTGTAGGACACAGTAAAGATGTAACAGAAGCTCCAGGTCCTTTGGCAGCAGGTCAGAGGACGGAAACTGGATAACAGCCGTAAAGATTAACCCTTTGGTCCAGAACATGAATTATAGACTGATTTACAGCAGCTGTCTTGGTCTGACTCAGGAGTTTAGGATTTTGTCCCAATAACGAGGTGCTGAAGACCAAGTCTGTGCAGGAACAGACGACAGCTGGTCAGAGCCCCAGGTACATGACTTTTGTCGCTGTAGAAGCTGCGTGGTCATGTGATTACCTCGAACAGGTGACTGCAGCCATCTGTGTACGGTCGTCTGGCCAGACTTTCAGTCTACTTCAACAGGAGAGGGCATTAGAGTAACAAGCGGAGTCAATGTCTACCTTAAAGTCAGCTTACAAGCTGCTCAGTGGTTCTCAGACTATGGTACACATAACGCTGTTTGTACATTGTCTACCTGTTGTAGTATAAATTAATTCTTCTGTCTCTGATGCCCAACAATATTCAGTTTCAGGGCACTCACCTCTGACTTTGTCAAACTCTCCAACTTTAAATCACATTCCTTAATCCACTAAAATTCCCATGTCTCCAGGTTAAATCCACTGAAAGCGAAGAACACACAGTTTTAAAATGAAATATGCCATGTTAATAATTTATGGTGTGATCCTCAGTAGTGGAGCCTGTCATGTTGCATCACAATGTTCATTGGCAGGAAATTCCGCACAGCTTCTCCTCTGGGGCAGAAAACATGTTTCACCAAAAGATAACACGAGCAGGAACAAGCAGCCAACCCGCCCCTCCCTAAATGTGAGTGGATTGGTAAAACAGAGAGCAACTGATTAATATTCAGTCTGACAAAACAATTACCAGGCAGATCACAGGCTGCTTGTAGTAACTGACAAGGACATTTTGTACGTAAGTCTTTTGAACCTGAAGCTGTTGTTGAATGTTGAACCTCAGAAGCCACACAGGGAGCGGGGGGGCTGCAGCAACCAACCAGCAACCAAACACACACTTAGGGAATCTCTTACCTTAGATATTAAATATTTATTGAATGTGCCATTAATAATCAATAAAACTCCCTTCTCACAGAAACAGAGAAATATGTTACTATGACAACGTGGATGTCAACACAGACATAAAAATCTCCTCTCTTCTCCCGGCAGCTGAACCTACACCAACTCATATTTACAGTTCCTCCTCAGTAGTGAACTGAATGCTGTAAACTATCTGCTGAGCACAAACAGTCACCAAATCACAGGCCAATCGCTGCGGCCCTCTCACACACCCCACGGTTTTTCTGTTCTCTACACGGTCGCATTTACAGAATGACAACAACTCATTTTGTGAAAATGCACCTAAGAGGAGTCAATATCAGATGCTGGAAAAAGTACAAGTACAAGTCCTTTAACCATTAAGCCTGATAACAGAAACTAGAAGCCAGAACTGATTGGTTTTATTACAGTACCAGACACTGAGGGCTTTAAAAAAATTGAAGCAACTAGTTCTGGAGATCTGGTTTCTAGCTGTTGCACCTAGTATTTGGTTCACTACCAGTAGGGCCGACATATTCCTCCGCTGTATTTTTATTAGATCAGAGTGTAGATTCATATTCTCTCTGCAAATGACTCTTGTCAGGTGAAAGTAAAAAACTTCTCAGAATAAACAAACAGAACCCCCCATCAACCCCACAGTATCTTAGTTATTCAAGAAGCAAAGAAAGTGGGAGTGATTAAAAGAGCGGGGAACATTTCACAGTCACAGGCAGTGAGCTGCTGAAACTCCAGCGCCGTCACAGTGAAGCCAACGGTGATTCATGACAACAGTGAGTGAAGAGAGATGCCAGTTTCTCCACAGGCAGGAAGTTAGTACCTGTGGTGTCACCAGCTGATCCGTCACATTTGTGTAGCGAAAGCATCAGTCACAGAAAAATAAATGTGACGTATGAACAGGACCAGATTTTGTGTGTGAATTTTGTGTGTGTGTGTGTGTGTTTGTGAGATGTACAGAACTCCAGGAACAACAGGAAAAAAAATGTCTTAAAACTACAATACAACGTACTAGGAACACTGTAGTGTAGAGCCGGAGAAGATAGGCCTGTAACGATAACACATTTTGCTACACGATATATTGTCCCATAAATTATTGCCAATATATGAATATATTTCGAGAACAAATTTACCACTGAGGTACAAATAATGTCATAATAATGTAAAGTATTTCCTTTCTAATGTGATTTTATTTTGCATGACTATTTCGTCGTTACAGACACGTCAGTGAGTGCACATCATTTTGGGCTGTTTCGTTTATATTTACTCTGTTGATCAAATTGCCCCAGTGAGTGTTGACTGTTGTGTTGTGTTGTTTTTTTGTTGCAACCACCTTGAACACCTGCATGTCACTTAGGCCATTGTTTCCCAAAGACTGGGTCACGACCCTCAGGTGGGTCGCTAGAGTTTTTTTTTTTTTGGGTCGTCTCGCATCATTTTTCCCAGGAGTTTATGAATAATGTCTATTGACTTGGGTCGCGAAGGTGTGTGACTTTTAAAATATGGTTCCCCAGAAAATAAGAGAAACACTGACTTAGGCTGACTTAGGCTAGTCTTTAAAATATGGTTCCCCAGAAAATAAGTTTGAGAAACACTGACTTAGGCTAGTTAGAAACCTGACGTCTTGGTTGAATAGCAGGTCACAACCAATATTTTAGGCACAGTACCGCCACCTACTGTACAAGAGTGTGTAGTCTCATGGTATAACCACTGTCTTTTTGAGATAAGGCGGCCTACTCCTGAAGCCTTGATGAGTGATTCATTTTTTTTCAACTGCCTTGTCATACATTTGTATAGATTTTAATTGATCACGATCCGTCGTTGCTTCCGTAGTTTCAGTACATATCCACTTTAAAGACTTTCTAAAACTTCAAATGACTGAAAAAACTCTGTGCGTCCACAGATAAAGCCCTGGCATTCGACAGTGTCTACCAACGTCTGCTGTTTCCACGTCCCTGAGCGGTGCAGAGGTTGAGGTTCACTGAATGAAGTGAAAACCTGGAAACCGCTCTGACCGGGGAGTTGTTTTGTTTCTCTCAGCCACAGGTGGAGAATTCTCCCGTGATTTATTTCTTTACAGTCGCTGCAGCTGTATTTACAACGTCTTCACGCAGTTATTTACATTTATGGTCACTCTGCAAGCGTTTATATTCAGAGCAGCGTAAATCTGCCGCGCAAATTTCCAGTCTATCATTTAAGAATTATCTTCCCACCAGCGCACTGACGTTAACTGTTATCTGTAACCATTTAAATGTAGTCATTTAGAAGGAGGGAGGAAATAAAGAGCCGCTGCCCGTTCTCCCTGCTGCCTCTTTCTTTTGATGCCAAATGTGGAACGATGGATAAACTCCACATCGCTCGCTAGAGATTGGGTCAAAGTAGTTGAGGCAAAAGCCAATGGGTTCTCTGTGGGGTGCTTGATGGAAGAGCATCAATTTTTCCGAAGTTCGAACAAACAACTTTTAATAAACAATATTTAAAAAAATAGGCCAAAAATACTGCGGAGCCATGATGTGGCCATGCAGGTTTTACCGTTTAGCGAGGCGATGGTCCGTTTTTGCTTAATATTCTCTTCTCATTTTTAATGTGACTGTGTGCCACAGTCTCTTTAGTCATTAAATATTTAAGGCCATTTGCTTTCCCCATGTCGTGGGCTTCATGAATATAAATTAAACTTTGAATTCATCTTGAGAGTTTTCTCAGAGAGCTGATGCCACGAGGATTCTGAGACGCTTTATTTAATAACATAGCTGTGCAGCCATGACTCCCTTCCTTCATTACCCTCTCCCCTCTCCTCCAGACAATCGTCCTCCTAATGAAAGACACCGGCCCAGATTCCTCAAGTCAGGACATGGTAATATGACAACTGGACCTGGACAACACCCCCGGGGAAGATACATTTACCATGAGCTGCTGCCACAAAAGGAAAACACTATTGCTAATACCCTAAAGCCCTGAAAACCAATGGGAGTTATTCTGCTGGAGAACATGGAGCTCGAGCTGAATGCTTATGAGCAGACGTCACAGATCCTCTACCTCACCATCTGGGTCTCTTTTTACGTTTGACGCCTTGGATTCCAAGAAAACAAACAGTTACTTAGAAAAAGCAAACTTATGTTCCCTGACCAGAAAAAAAGAAAAGAGGAAGTACATGAAAATATTGACTGCGCACCACCTGGTGGCAGCAAGGGAAGAGTGGTGAGTGGTATTTAAGTCACATACTATATGCTGAAATGTCCGAGCTTTAAAAACATGTAAGATGGTTTCCTAAACTTATTTAGGAATTAGGGACTAACTTTTATGACAGGAGTTGTAGGAAACTGCTGTTGATAACTGAGCCATAGGTTGAGTCAGAATTATCAGGAACGCTGTCAGAAACCTGTGTCAGACAGGAAGTGTCCACCGTGTTCTTACCTCCTCCAGGTTTACCAGAAAGGTGATGTTGTTGCCAAGTTTGGTGGTGAGTTTGCCGTCTTTGGTCGTCACTGAGAGCCCTCTGGGAGCTCTGTTGGGACACTGCTGCTTCCTGGCGGTGTACATTTCTTTTACTCCTTTGGTGCAGTTGTTCAGCACCACTTTACGATACCTGGTGGATTAAAAAGAAAAAGAAAAAGAAAGAAACACAGAAGTGAGGCTAGACATTCACACCATGTTACAACTGCTGTCTGTACCAGGACTGTTGTAGCTAATGTTTACACACAACCATGATCTTATCCAAGCTTACTTCAGTAAGTAAAAGAAATAAAAAAATCTCGCAGACATCACTCCATGTATCCTGTTCACCTACTTGGCTAGAGTGCATCAGTGTTAGCATTGTGCCAAAAGTATGGGAGTTAGGTAGCGGTGATTAAACTGAGTAAATAAATAGAAAAACAAGTTAAAGTTCTGGTTTACAAATTGATAAAAAGATACTTATTCATAGCACAGGGACAAAAGAAGGGTTAAATCTTCATAAAGTTTAAGTATAAGCAAAAATGACTTTAGACTTTACCTTCACCTGCCTTTTTGTCTCTTGACCTTTGGTATTTTTGGAGTTCTGAA